TGTTAAAGGTTCACAAGATGCAAGTACGTGTAACCCCGTTTAAGAGTTGATGCAAGTTTTAATGAATCATGGCTCGTTGGATTGATGCGTAGTTCCATTTTAGCTTTGCACATACTAGTATATCGGCTGGTAGAAAGCAACGAGCAAAACTCTTTACAGAAGAGGTGTTCATTTGCAGGAGTAATTCTTCATCACTCAAAAGATGCCCGCAGAAAAATACAACCATGGTATACTAACTGTAATAATAGGGAATTGTGGAAACGAAGCAGCGCGGGTATTGAATTAATGAGTGACTAAAATATTTAAGGCTATCAGAACTCAATGTCACATCCTCTGCTTATTTACTGATGCTATTGTTGAGATGACGCCACCTGATGCATGCATGAAAAGACGAGATTTGACGTCACAAGAATGCCTGAATGGTGTCATCGTTACGGATATTGATTGCATACATAGTAGTTTACATTTATTAGTCTACATAGCTCAGGTTATATCTGGCTGGATCAAGTGTAGCACATGGGTAGTGAAGTAAGACGCGAACTAAACATGCTCTTTGCTTTACCAACAAACAAACAGGTTGATCACCGCAGCAAAAACACTCCCAGTCGATCTACCTCGCACAAAGATGGCGTCTAAGCGAGCCGAAGTCCATCAAGAGACATTTTTTACTGGAATTAACGTGCGCATGCCGATGATTCAGACCATTCAGGTCGTCTTAAGGAAAAGGGGATAACGAAAGTAAGTTTGGTGATTCGACGGTGTCAAATATCGTCTTAGGAATCAAGCTGCATCACTCGACCAACATGCGGTCTTTATGCACTTTGAATGAGTGTTTACCATCGGACCACGTATTGTAAGCGCACCGAGTTATCACGCCGTCTACAAAGTCGCAAGATGAAGGGGTTATAACAGTGTTTAAGCATTTAGACGCCGTTCATGAGCTTGTTGTCGGTCTCTAAAAACTTAAAGCCGCTGAAGACAAATTTTGCTTTGCAGAATATGAGGATGAGCTTATTGCGTATAGGCCGATCCAAATCAGGGGAGTCAAAATTGTGTCATGCATGAGGCTTTCTTTTACAGTCATGCATTCAGCTACCCCCAAAATTGACATCTATTGAAGAGGATTGAAGAGGGGTCGAGCCATGTTGGCATGGGTTTCACTTCAATTTGCAACTACTGGTTGGTCCAACTAAGCATCTTCTAAAGTCCTTTTAGGATTGAAAACTGACGAATATATATCCTTAACTCTTTTAAAATTTGCACACTGACCATAAATTACAATGAAGCAAATCGAAAAGAGGATCTTGCCCCCTTAAGAAAAACACTATTAAAATTTGGTGAAGCGTCTTTTTGACACGCACCGATCTCAAGTGCTGAATGTAGTTTTCCACATCCGTACTTGGGTCAATACATCGTTGAAATAAGTTTGTATATAACAAATGTGTGGTACGGGTAGCTCTGTCAGCAGACGTTCGAAGACGCTGGTGCATTTGACATTCTTTGCGGTATTACCAGCTTCTACTTGGGCTTCCTACACGAGAATTCGCCGAAGTAAGAGGGTTGTCGCCAGTTCTCGTAAACACTTAAGTAGATGAGAGGGCAGAAAATAATGACCCATAACTTATCGACTTTCAATTGATTCGTAGCTCATAGCGATCGAATCACGCTTTGTGTAGGATGAGATATAAATTTCGAAATTATGGCTGAATACGAGACAATGTATCACGTCAAACTATCAGACTCTACGAGAAGGCTGAAAACGAACTTCTTATATTTACTTTTGTCCCCGCCGTACGATACCAAATACAGATACTATATCCGTATTTAGCATCTTTGCGGCATCTCTCTTCGCGCGCCATACGTAATCACACAAATCTTTCGATAGATTTTACCTGATACGGCTTCCAAAGCTCATAAAGTCAATATCAACAGCAAGCAACCCTGCTTGTGGGTACCACAGCATTTTTAGCGCTTGATATTATTTTCGACGACCTTCACAGTGTATAATAAAACAAGTATTCCCAATGGACCCCGCTGCCTAATGTGACTTAAAATTTCGTCAAGAAACACATTGGATCTTGTTTCGGAGCTCAATGTTCTGTATTTCACGACCAGGGGGAAGAGTACGCTAGACGCAAATATATAGGATTCCATAGATTCAGCATCTGCGAGCTCCAACGTGCTGTACAATAATAAAATAGTTTATATCCTCATCATCGTCGTGGCTAACGTCCATCGCCTTAGGCGTGTTCATAAAGGTTGCGAGCCCGGAGCCCCACTGTCCCTCGCAGCACGGAAATCGACTTCAGATTACGTTACACTAACCGCTTCTCTAAAAAGGTAGGGAGGAGAAAGAAAGGTCTCGGTGTGAACACATTTGTTTAACGACATTCCATGATGATGGCTTAAGTTACCTCTAAAGAGCGTCTACCAACACAAAAGCAATAATAGCTCTCATCATGAACAGAGAAAACTGCGTATTAATACTCGTTATAGCTTCTATAACTTTAGCTTTGATACTCTATTTCTCCGTCCGAATCCAAGGCCATCTCACCTCTTCCATAAAGAGAGAGGAATGTTATCATCCCGTCTCGCTCCTCATAGGGCTGATCGCTCAGCATCGGCAGCCTATTGGTGGGTGCCATTGCGCTCCCACATACGTTTGTTGAAGCGCTCGTTTAGATGTGTCGCGATCTCATTCTCATAACTAGTGATCCAAAGAGCCGTTACCACATTTTATCATGAAGCCGCCAGTTTCTCTGACCCCTCTAGGGCCAATCAAGATAGGAGTTTCCCGAACGTGTTTGGCTGTCGTGCGGACAGGCAAACCACTCGTTATCCATCCCCACATAGAGTACAGTTTTTTCACGCTTGGTCGTGGGATTGACTACAAGTGCTACTTAGTTCAAAGAGATTGTACCGTGGAAGCTTCACAGAGGGTGGTTTTGCCAGCAGCGGAATCGAGAGGCATTGAAGTAACTATGTATTCTGTTGGCTCTGCTTTTCAAGAGAACATCCAGCTAAGTTTTAATGTTATTTGAGCCAGTACCATACATATGTTTTGCAGTATCCGATAATGAATGAAATTTTGTAGCTTGAAATGAGGTCTATAACTCATGTATTCCACGGACTTTGCCTCAACGACCAAAAGCTCGAGACCCTTTGAATAATCACAATCACACCAAAAACGCAATGTGAAATTTCGGACAAAATGTGCTGATATACGGATGTGTTGTACGTACGCCTTACAGAAACTTAGGAATATGATACATTAACCCAAGTCTTGACAGCGTTTAATTTTCGTAAGGAAATCGCAGAACCTTAATAAACTGAGGGAGTAAGCTCTATGTCTAGCTGTTCATTTCCGCAGATGTATAATCAAGGATGTGTAATGCGGACACGAGCATCAACACGGAGTAGACGAACACAAAGAACATTCGTATGTAAATATCAAGTTTCCTCGTACAATCGACTCGACTCGCCATGCTTTTGCTACGAACAAATTGTGAACTTGATGCTGAAATGTCTTTCCAATACCCACCAAAACTAGAGTAGAAAAGCGAAAGTTCTTGTACAATATTTAGCTTTGGGGTGAATTGTCAAGCCACCAAAACCGGAAGCTAAGACATAGGATGATACTTGCTGCAACAGTGTTGAAGAGGATGTATCGATGTGCGAGGAGCGAGGAGCCGTTGCCAGAAAACTCTTGGTTTACATCAACCATATCTGGCAAGCTGCAGATCTAAGACGTGAGTTTGATACCATAGTCTTTCATTCGTTTTTTAATCATTTTTTTAGGAAGCAGCAAAATGTATCGCACTAAAGTTCACTGTAACGGCATCGGTGAGTGCACGATGTGAAAAAACAATTCTACAGCGGGGTTCAGACCAGATCAGTTCTGACAAATTACGCAAAGGGCTCGTCGTGGTCTCTCGATTTCTTTCTTATTACAATCATAAACATCGGACCAAAGTGATTAATTTCGCTATTTCTGCTGATATAATCGTTTCAAAGCCGCCAGACAATAAGAACTTTTAAATCTCGAGTGTCAAAATTTCTTCTCTGTCAAGAGATTACAAATACCTCCTTCGACTGGGTGTTGCCAACGATGTTATTCATGATGACTGGGTTGGCAAGTCGAAGAAAGAACCCATGAATTTTTGTGGCCCTCATCACTCAAACAGCACTGCAAAGATGAACAACAAACTTCGCGGGGAGAACAACAGCGAGTTTTCTTTGCTACAGCAGTTGCGTCCGACAGAAGCTTCGATTTGAGCACAAATTCAGTGACGCCTTCAAGAAATTCAGTCTGAAGAACCAGCTTTCAGCAGAGTTATATACTGCTAAGACTATGGCACCGACAAAGATTCGTCATGACACCGATGTGGCTTAAATTTATTGTCAAGGCATAATCTCGCACATAATTATACCTACTCCCACAACAATGGCAGTGATACAATTCAAGAACTTAGAATGTGCGACCAAATGCTCTGACTATCCTATCTGTTGTAAAGATTGCATCAACATCCGATGTATTGTAAGATGTGGTAGTTACGTGGCATCGCACACATGCGATGCTTCATGATCGACCCGTCTCAAGCTGCAAAACCAATATTAACGCATATCTTCTTGACAGAAATCTGCCTCGATTTGTTTTACATACAATTAGATAAAACATTTGACGGTCGGTGGATTATTGTACGATCGTTTCCTTTTACAGGATGGCGAAACGTAGTGAACAATGAGCGGAAGCAACTCGCATTTAGGTGGATGATATGTTACCAAGAGTCATCATAACGGTTGACGAGCACAATCGCCCGTACAACTGACAAATCTTAATCAATCGACACTATGTTTCACTGTTTAATATGTAAAACGAAGGTATTTTCAAGCTACAGTTACCTAGAAATACTCTAACGAATGTCGGCTTGAACTTTTTGAACTTCCTTGTGGGGTTTCATACGATGCGATTGTTGGGAATCGTACCAGTCGTGACGGCATCAGGCGTTGTCGCCAAGAACTACAGATACTGGAACTGCATCGCAAATTTGAATGTCCTCATTACCAAAACTCATTCTTGAATTTCCAAGTGCTTGGAAACTTACTTATATTCTCTACGATCACGTACACTTTCCACATTCAACACCAATATGGTTCAAATCGTCGCATTTAGCATCGTAGCTACTGCACTTGCTATCGAACGGATTCAAGCAACTTCATTAGAGTGCAATGCTTTCATGCCAACGGGAACCCAATTGCCTTTAACTGATGACCATCCAGCAGTCATGAAGGACTATAACGGCGCTGTACCCGTAGAAATGCCTGATCATTGCGAACCATCAGCAACCGAAAATGATCTTTTAAGAACCGACTCAACGGGTGGCCCAGGCCGTCGATTGCGACGCATGGAAGATGCAACCAATTCGGATGTCCATGACCTTGAAGCGTATTTTGGTGAAAGCCTTGTGTTGGATTTTGAGACCCTAAAAGAAAAATACTCGTCAGCATCAGCACCAACAATTCCGTGGCCGGGAAGCTACTGGCCGACGTACCAGGACAGTATCAACGTCATTTGGAAAACAGGTGATAAAAGCGCGAGTGAAAAGTATGCCGAAGCTTATGGTCTCGATCCAATCGAATTTCAAAATAAAATGTCGGCCATAAACGGTGTTGATGCACATGCAGACAAGACCAAATGCAGTACAGATACTGACTGCGCGGGACAGAATGACGGAAGTTTGTGTGCGAAACGCAAAGGTACATCCAATGGTTATTGTATCCCAACGTGGTATGGTATTTGCCATGCATGGGCTCCTGCTGCTATCCTCGAAAACGAACCAAAGTGCGACGTAGTGAAGAATGGACAGACGTTTCATGTCATGGATATCAAAGCACTCGTGACGGCTGTTTATGACGGTTCTGCGATTGCCACCGTCTTCACTGGCGCACGTTCAAATGGCCCCGACACACCCGTCAACACCGATGCATACGGACGCTATACCAACGCTGCACGACGGGATTTAGGCGCCGGATTTTTCCACCTCGCCATCACAAATATCATGGGGAAACATAAGCAATCCTTCATAATTGACATTACTACTGGTGCGCAAGTCTGGAACCAACCTGTTCGGTCATACCGGGTCCAGACCATGGACCTTGTGGACGCGACACAGGCGTCGCAACAATACTTTGGCACGAACGTGTACCCATTCAACGACCAAATGGTGCACCTCGCTTACGTCAAGACTACAGTCAGTTGGATCGTAGAAGCTTACGCTGACGGTCCTCTTGTTGCAACGCAAGAGGTAAATACGTATACAAAATCACGTGATTATGAGTATTTGCTCGAGCTAGACGCCAACTACGCAGTGATTGGCGGTGAATGGGTTGGAAGCTCCAAAACGGATCATCCAGATTTTCTCTGGTTTCCTACTGCCAAGCCTGACGAATCGACGGTCACAGGTGCTGGCTTAAGTTACGCGAATGTAGAAGAATTACTCGAACTATCAGTATCTTGTGGTGCATCAACTCCCTCAGTTAGCACGTCGGGTAGTGCGTCGGCAGTTTCTACTAGCGCATCATCTAGTACTTCAAGATCAGTCGGTGCTTCGATGAGCGCATCGGGCAGCTCTTCTGAGAGCACAACAAATGAAGGAACAAGTGAGAATGATTCTTCACTGATCCTTATGGGCACCGAGACAACTGAAGATCTTGACATTTCGGATGAAACATCTAATGTTCCAAATGGATCGAATTCAAACTTGGATGCTCCTGCCATAATCTTGGACACTACCTATAGCAACAACACAACAGAGTCGACAGGAAATGCTAGTCCAGTGACTACAATCAACTCCGTTTACTACACACCACCCTTGACCTCGGAGACCGACGTACCCCCTCACATTACTTTTCCAGAACAGACGACTGTCGTTACAACCAATGAAGAAAGTGCTCAAACCTCGGTGCACCAAAGCTGCCACTAAATGGACCTAAAAACCACCTTGCTATTGGTTTTGATTTACCTTTGATAGCCTTAACACAAAATGTGTTTCGATACACTCATAATATGAGATAATAGACATCGCAATGATAGAAAACACCTTTATTTACTACACTCGATGTCCAAGTAACGGTTCATTTCGCCCCATGACACGCACAAGCTGCTCCCATTGAGCTGGCGTAATACTTATAATACTCTGTGAAGATGCTGGAAGATTCACTTCGCCCAATCCTTCTTGATTTTCTGTCATCAAATTAAAAATATGAAAAATCAGTCAGCCTCAACATTATCAATTGTGCGATACAAATTAATTAAGCATTTACTTAGATAAGGAAGGCCAGAGTCTCCATCAATGCCAATTTCAGCAGAATTATTACGCACGAGAAATGATGTATCAAATAGATTTTCAACTGTCTAGATGTTATACAATATCCAGCAGCATAAGTTAGCTGAGTTAAAAACTTAACATAAGCATTTGGCAGTCACACACCTGAGTAAAGCTCTTTGGATTAATCACCAAGTCCAAAAGTGGCTTCACACGCTCACCTTCGGTCAACTTTGTCTGCAAAATCTCTAATCGACGAGCTTGAGCATCTTTGCGATCTTTCTAAAAAAGCACAATAATCACCCATTTTCAACACTACTGTCTTGATAAATATCACTTCAACACATCAATTAAAAAACCTTGTTAGTGTACTCTGTTGGTTGTGTTTCTTGCGCATTCACATCTTCCTCTACACGCCTTGCTTTCTTTCTCTCCTTGTGTGTTACTTCTGTGTCCATAAGACCAAAGCTTAAGAAGAAACAAACAGTCACCATCAATTTTCTTATTCTCCACAACTTTCCAACTTCATCACAAACGTACAGAAAACAACTTTCAGGAACAGATCGAAAGCAAGCACCAGCGGCATTTCCCAGTGTATTCCAATCAAACTCTCCATTTTGCGATTCGATTGTGCAAACGTTCTGTGCCGCACGAATTAAATCTGTTGTGTCATACTAGACCAAAAAAAACTGTCAAATTGAGTGCTATATCCAGAGTCTTGGTATGAGACCTTCGTAAGGTCACTAGAACCTAAAGCCTCTGACTGCTTAGCCACCGCTACATTAAGTTCATCCAAGTTGCTGGCGTCTAGATTGGCTTCACGAGGATAACACACACTGTCGTACATTTGATCCAATTCTTGTGTATGTGTATGAAATTGATCACTTGAGAGTTTTGCCAGGTCATGAGCATTCTCCTTGATACTCTGCAGTAGCTCGCGCTCTTTATATCGAACATGACGACGATCTTTCTCCGATAGCTGTGAATTTTCAAGAAATCCTTTACGTTTCCGTCCAGGTAAAGCTGTGCGTGGTTTTGACTGCCTCGTATTTACTTCCTCATCTCGACGCTTTCCACTGCTGACCATTGTTAATGATAATTTATTCAATTTTAATCAAATTACATTCTTCAAATAATATTTACAATCTAATGTAATATTTTACTTCATACAACCTTTTGCTAGATGAGACAAGCAACTTACTGTAACATACTGCCTGTTACACACAATCTTTACGGTTGCGTGGCGCAATGAGCCAGAATAATAATGCTCTTGAATTATCTGCCTACTACAGCAGTATCCTACATATATGTATGATAGCCTCCGTATATGCACCGATATACAATCAAGGAGGAAGGTGTGGGTTATTACATTTTTCCCTCACGTAAGGTTGGCCACACTGACGGTCGTGCGACCTACCGAGCGTGAACATAGTGTTAAGACTTCTTACTACGTTTTCCCGCAACAGCAAAACACGAGTATAAAGCGCTTCCTATATGCACTCATATAAAAGTGTAACACAACTACTTGATTTTGTTACATTTGGTTTTGGCGCATTGTGATCATCCAGCGACCATGCCCCTCCACGCATATGGAGCCCAACCATTTTGTTGCGCGTAAGAAATGCCCTCACTTGGATGATTTACCGTAGGGGCTTTCATACGTATGTCTGAGAGGGTCGACGCGATATTGCATTCGTTGTCCCACAACAAGCAGCATGCGGTCATCACGCAACTCATGCAAGATGTATTAGACGCCTCTCGGCGCAAAGTTGTTAGTCTTCAATAAAATGAGACTTTTCGTTGAGGAGTACCGAGTAATAGCTCTCCGCTCTGCGCGAGCAAGTGGCACAATAGAATGAGCTATTGTGTCGGAAAGTTCGTCAGGCGCTCGCAGCTGCTGTCAGCTCAAAATTTGTCGACACGTTGGAGGTCGTCGTCTCCAAGTGCCAAGCTGCCAAAGGCATATTTGCGCAAGCTCGTCGAGTTGGATGGTGCGATTATCGCGCGGTGCGTCATTGAAGAAGCGATGAGAGTGACATTCGCCGTGCCCAACTTGACTAAATGCGCAAAAGATTTATATATTGAGCTCAAACTGAAGGATTCCAAATATTTTTCGGTTTATTTAGAATTCAAAAACCGTGTCAGACTAGCGTTTGAGCTGTCAAAGTTGGAGTTGAGGGCACGATCTAAATTTTTCGAGCTAGAGCAGGATAAGCGTCATACGCTCAACAGGCACGAAACCCGCATGAGTTGTATTTTGCAGAATTCAATCAATGACATAACCACGCAGTCACGTCCATTAAGGCTCTGGTTACTAGCCATACCAAGACCCAGTTTCTCCGAGTATACCCGAGACGTTAGAGAAAGAATTCGAGCTTTCTGGAAGAGGACGTCAGCTTAAGTCCAGCTTATGTCCACTCTTCCTTCTTTCGTCTGACTCGATGAGAGGTCAACAACACAAGTCCAGATCGCAAACACTTTCCCATCGCGGTTGGTACTACCTACTTATGACGCTGAAAGGGCAAGAAGAACTTGCAACCGATGCAAGAATTTCGGACACCACGGTTATGAGCTGCGTTGCTCCGAGTCCGATTTGATAAAAGATGACCCATCACCAACCTTGTTCTGCAAGTGCGCAGATGAGAGGTCGGCCAGAATAGGTAGGGGCAGTAGGCTGCTTCGCGCCAACTGTCTAGAGTGGGTCGAGCGATTAAATGGGTTACTTGACTGTGAGGGTTTTGGTAACACAAAGATAGTGTTTTTCCACGCGCGCACGGTGATGATGAACCCCTCATTCGACCGCACACTTCAACTCCGGCACTTCAAATAATTTAGCTCGACAAGGCGCGCTGGATGCGGTCAGTATAAAATAATCAAAAAGAACACCATGCTGGACCATGATGACTATATGGTTGGCGACGAGTGTCACCGTATGAACGGAGAAGCGTCAACTGGAGCACCTTAATGATGATCTTATTGCACTAGACTTGGGTGACAAATTTGCTGGCATCCTAAGGATGTCGTGGCTCAGAACGTATGAGCCATCCTTCTATTGGAAGCATCGATCGTGCGGATGGATGCTAACCCCCAAGCCAAGGCAGAGAGAGATCTGGCGAGTCCAACCACCAGCAAGTGGACCGATGCTTGCTCGATCGTTATGTCTGAAAGCCGCATGGACCACAAAATCGACGAATTTGTCGGTTTATACGGCTAGTGTCCCGGTGACAGATGCTATGCGAAGAATGAACAACCAATCTGCTGAAACGTTCCTGTGCAGTCTTCATGGAAGGAGAAGTAGCATGCACAGGCAAGTATGCCCAGCTTGAATAACGGACCTTCGTCACTTCAATTCTATACTTACATTTGACTTTGGCGTCGAGTGTTTTCGGTTATGACTCACGTTTAAGTGAGCCCAACGCAACATGCGTCCGTGATCATCACTCGTAACGGTAATGTGATATCAATAATTTCACTCCGCCAAGGACTAAACTTGTGCGCAAAGCCAAAAGAAACGATTCTACCTGTAGTATTTCACAGGGCGATGAAGTGCACGCAGATGTGGCAGTAGGACAACCACTCTGGTAAAAACTACCGTTGTCACACGCGAGTGCGCACAGCGATGCAACTACTGCAGACGAAAACAATGCGATGAGGGTATATATGCTCAGGTGAGCAGGTCCCCGAGTGCGTCAAGAAAATCGCAGTTGTGGCAAATAATGGTGAGATCGTGATACCGCCACACTCGCATTGCCATCACCCTTTTGGAGCTTCAAGGAGGTCCATGATCTACCATTGATGGATCAATTGAGGCTCTTACATCGAAGAACAAATTCATGCAAGTGTATTTCGTCGTCATAGATGACGTACACGTGCCCGACATGAAGTTGGCTAGGGTCATCACCCGTTTGACTCCACTTGATGAATCTGTCTTGGATGATAAGACTCGGACTGAGCTTGGAGGCGCTTAGTCCTGAAAGCCCGGAAGAACAACTATTCGCACACGGGTATCGAGATGTCTTTTACGATGTGGTGGTGTGCAAAATAGCTGGAAGTCAACGACGCTCGGCATGAGATCGTCTAAAAGCCGGGGACAAAGTACGCGATGGGGCAATGAAGTTTGCCTCGCAAGCAAGTGAATGTGATCAACAATTACTTGAAAGCTTTTCACAAGGCTGGCCACGAGAGAAAATTGACATTCTCTCACAGTAGCCCGATAATCGGCTTGCGCAAGGTTACAGGAGATTAGCGCATCATTTACGCTTACTTTTTAGCTGAACGCGGTCACGGTTCTGTCGCAAACGTGTCGAAACCTGTTAAATGTCGTCTTTCAGATCTTCATTTATCAATTGAATATCCCATTCACAGCGAGATTTGCATAGGTATTTAAGCAAGTACGCTGAGTGCATGGTTGCTTTTTTGCGATTATGGAAGCCGGAGATATATGATAATGGAATGCCGACTGCCACACAACATTCCAGTCCATCAAATGAAGCTTGCTAGAGTTGAGATTTTAGCGATCGACAAACTAGACAGGCCACTTCATGTGGCCTGTGATGCGAGTGATTTTACAATCGGCTGAATCGGCCTCGCCCAGACGCAAAATGCTCTCGATGGTACAGAGCGAGTTGTCTGCTATCAATTGCGCCAGCTGACCGCAAAGGCCCTATGCACGATAAGAAGCTTATTGCCACGAATCAAACACTGTCGAAGTTTTGGGTCTCTACTCGGCGACTGGCCTTGAATCATGATTCGTTGCGCACGGCCGCAAACAGCCCCGCTTCTTTCAAAGAATGACAAGTTGGCTGTCATTGTTCTTACGAATTACAAATTCTCACCGATAGCAAGCTGTGCCGACTCAATATTGTTGCAATTGCACTGTCGCGGCGACCAGAATTCGAGCCGACGATGGTTGATGGCACAGTCAACAACATTCAGTTGACTGCGAGTGCACTAGCGTAATCACTACTTCGTGCTGCGTATGTACGATTCTTCGTCTGGTGAAACTTATTGTACACATGGCGGAGCCATCTGAGTGATGCCTCAGAATACTGCTGTCATCCAACCAATCGAGTGTCAATCGGTATGCATACCGCGATGGCCTGCTTTAAATTTGAGCAGTGATAGATGACAGCTATTGGGTAGTCATTCCCGATCGCGACAACCACGAACTCAGTTTTCGATTCACTGTAATTACCACTTACCTCCAATCAATGGTCACCGTGGTTGTGGAATGTAACGGGGTTTCATGTGCCCTGGTAGAAGGGTGTGGGTCTCACAAGATGGTGTGATCACACAATGATGTATGTTATACATGGTGGTGTAACCACACAATGGTGTGGCTACACCTTAACAAAAAGCCATTACGCGGCAGTAATTATACATTCAATATATCAATAAAAAAAACTTCAGATTTGATACAGGCAGCTTTGCCGCCAAAAAGCCCAAGATATAGAGCTTACGTTTTAAGCGGAAGAGACAATAAGCCTTGAATTAAGGCTGTAGTTACTCTTGGAGTAACTGAATTGCGATCGTACTGGCTTTAAGTATAGAACGAAGGTCACCGACTTTAACCAAGCTTCCTCAAAGCGAAAGAGCTACGGTTGCCTGGGGAAGAACTGAGCTCTGTTGAGCCTCAAGGAGGTAGAGGGTAGCAGAGTTCAGCCTCGAAGAGCTCCGTGTTCTAGAAAACGGAACGTGTATGCAAGCCGGACTTGATGGTCGTGGAAGCGACCACGAAGAACTTTGAGAAGCCATGAAAGATCCTGATGATTCTGATCGACTCCGGGGTGTCGGGCAATTATGCTCGGCGCTCGACGATGGAAGGAAGCCAGCTATATGCTGAGGCGCTGAAAGCGCAGTTGACACCGTCACTGTTCGCTCAGCGACGGGGACATGTGTTGTGTGATGAGAACCCCTGTGGACCATGGCGTCAAGTTTCTTAACTCAATATATTGGAGCGCTGCTTGGTCTTAGACTTGGGTCAAGATATGACCTCATCCTTGGTAGGGCATGGTTAAAACACCATAAGCCATGGAGCGATTGGAAATGGAATTCGCTGGGCGCTACGCGCACGTCTCCTGGTGGAGC